GATGTTGAAATGCCTATCGTTATTCTTGGGGACCCAGCCTACCCCTTAATGCCATGGCTCATGAAGCCGTACACAGGCAGCCTGGACAGTAGTCAGGACCTGTTCAACTATAGGCTGAGCAAGTGCTGAATGGTGGTGGAATGTGCCTTTGGACGTTTAAAAGCGCGCTGGCGCAGTTTACTGACTCGGATAGACCTCAGCGAAGCCAATATTCCAATTGTTATTGCTGCTTGCTGTGCGCTCCACAATATCTGTGAGAGTAAGGGGGAGACATTTATGGCAGGGTGGGAGATTGAGGCAAATCGCCTGGCCACTGATTACGTGCAGCCAGACACCAGGGTGGTTAGAAGAGTACAGCAGGGCGCGGTGCGCATCAGAGAAGCTTTGAAAACCAGTTTTGAGACTGGCCAGGCTATGGTGTGAAACTTCTGTTTGTTTCTCCTTGATGAACCCTCCGCCCGCCCTCCCTCCCCGTTCACTCTACTTCCCTGTAAACTAACCACCATGCCCTCTGCCCTTCGAGCACCGCTTGCAGAGGCAATAAAGTCATTGTTACTTCACATTAATGCATTCTTTATTAATTCATCACACAACTAGGGGGATAACTGCCAAGGTGGCCCGGGAGGGAAGGAAAAGGACACACTACAGTTTAAATCTTTAAAACTTTAACACTTATTGAAGGCTAGCCTTCTGATGCTCGGGCAATCATCAGGGTGGAGTGACTGGGTGGCCGGAGGCCCCCCCACCGCGTTCTTGGGCGTCTGGGTGAGGAGGCTATGGAACTTGGGGAGGAGGGCTGTTGGTTACACAGGGGCTGTAGCGGTGGTCTCTGCTCCTGCTGCCTTTCCTGCAGCTCAACCATACGCTGGAGCATATCAGTTTGATGCTCCAGCAGCCGAAGCATCGACTCTTGCCTTCTGTCAGCAAGCTGACGCCACCTATCCTCTTCAGCCCACCACTTGCACTCTTCAGCCCGTGATTCAACCCGCCAGCTCTCCTCTTGTTCATATTGTGCTTTTTTGCACTCTGACATTGAATGCCTCCACGCATTCTGCTGTGCTCTGTCAGCGTGGGAGGACATCTGGAGCTCTGAGAGCATATCATCCCGAGTCCGCCGTTTTCTCCTTCTAATCTTCACTAGCCTCTGTGAAGGAGAAACATTTGCAGCTGGTGGAGGAGAAGAGAGAGGTGGTTAAAAAAGACACATTTTAGAGAACAATGTGTACACTCTTTCACGTTAAATTTTGCTGTTCACATTACACAGCACATGTGCTTTCGTTACAAGGTCGCATTTTTCCTCTTATATTGAGGGCCTGCCGGTTTGGTGTGAGAGATCACTCATGCAGTGCCAGGCAACAGATTTCGGCTTGCAGGCAGCCATGGTAAGCCACAGTCTTTTGGCTTTTTTAACCTTCTTAACATGTGGGAATAGTTTCAAACAGCAGCGCCCTCATTTCCCATACCAAGCACCCATTGGATTGGCCATTTAAAATGGGTTTGCAATGTAAAAGGAGGGGCTGCAGGTTTCCGGGTTAACATGCAGCACAAACCCAACTACCCCCCCCCACACCCAATTCTCTGGGATGATCACTTCACCCCTCCCCCCACCGCGTGGCTAACAGCGGGGAACATTTCTGTTCAGCCGAGCAGGAACGGGCACCTCTGAATGTCCCCTTAATAAAATCACCCCATTTCAACCAGGTGACCGTGAATGATATCACTCTCCTGAGGATAACAAAGGGAGATAAGGAATGGATGTTGTCTGCATGCCAGCAAACACCGGGACCATATGCTGCCATGCTTTGTTATGCAACGATTCCAGACTACGTGCTACTGGCCTGGCATGGTAAAGTGTTCTACCATGGCGGACGGGATAAGGCAGCCCTCCCCAGAAACCTTTTGCAAAGACTTTGGGAGTACATGAAGGAGAGCTTTCTGGAGATGTCCCTGGAGGATTTCCGCTCCATCCCCATACACATAACAGACTTTTCCAGTAGCTGTACTGACCGCGATTGCCAGGGCAAATTAATCATTAATCATTAAACACACTTGCTTTTACCATGTGTAATATTTACAAAGGTACACTCACCAGAGGTCCCTTGTGTGCTCTCAGGGTCTGGGAGCACGCCTTGGGTGAGTTCGGGGGTTACTGGTTCCAGGTCCAGGGCGATAAACATATCCTAGCTGTTGGGGAAACCGGTTTCTCCGCTTCCTTGCTGTGAGCTATCTTCATTGTCTTCATCATCATCTTCCTTGTACCCCGAACCTGCTTCCCTGTTGCGTGATTCTCCATTGATGGAGTCAAAGCACACGGTTGGGGTAGTGGTGGCTGCACCCCCTAGCATGGCATGCAGCTCCGCGTAGAAGCGGCATGTTTGAGGCTCTGCCCCGGACCTTCCATTTGCCTCTCTGGATTTGTGGTAGGCTTGCCTTAGCTCCTTAATTTTCACGCGGCACTGCTGTGCGTCCCTGTTATGGCCTCTGTCCTTCATGGCCTTTGAGACTTTTTCTAATATTTTGCCATTTTGTTTACTGCTACGGATTTCAGCTAGCTCTGATTCATCTCCCCATATGGCGAGCAGATCCCGTACCTCCCGTTCTGTCCATGCTGGAGCTCTTTTGCGATCCTGGGACTCCATCATGGTTACCTGTGCCCTCCACGCTGGGCAAACAGGAAATGAAATTCAAAAGTTCGCGGGCCTTTTCCTGTCTACCTGGTCAGTGCATCTGAGTTGAGAGTGCTGTCCAGAGTGGTCACAATGAAGCACTGTGGGATAGCTCCCGGAGGCCAATAACGTAGAATTCCGTCCACACTACCCCAAATCCAACCCGCAAAGGCCGATTTTAGCGCTAATCCCCTCGTCGGAGGTGGAGTAAAGAAACCGGTTTAAAGGGCCCTTTAAGTCGAAAAAAAGGGCTTCGTCATTTGGACATGTCCAGGCTTAATTCGATTTAACGCTGCTAAATTCGACCTAAACTCGTGGTGTAGACCAGGCCTAAGTCTTGGAGCACTGGGGAAGTTCCAGAAGATTGGAAAAAAGCTAATGTTGTGCCAGTTTTTAAAAAGGGTAAATGGGATGACCCAGGTAATTATGGGTCTGTCAGTCAGACATTGATCTTGGGCAAGATAATGAGCTAGCTGATATGGGATTCAGTTACTAACTAGAACTAAAGGAGGGTAATATAATTACTGCAAATAAACATGGGTTTATGGAAAATAGATCCTGGCACACTAACTTGATAACTTTTTTTGATGAGATTACAAGTTTGATTGATAAAAGTAATAGTGTTAACGTAATATACTTAGACTTCTGTAAGGCATTTGACTTGGTATCATATAACAATTTGATTAAAAAACTAAAATTAACGTGGCACACATTAAATGGATTAAAAGCTAGTTAACTGATGGGTCAAAATAAAACTTTAAACGGGGAACCATCATTGAGTGTGGCTGTTTCCGGTGGGGGTCCTGAAGAGATTGTTTTTTGGCCCTATGCTATTTTAACATTTTTATCAGTGACCAGAAAGAAAACATAAAATCATCGCTGATGAAATTTGCAGATGACACAAAAACTCGGGGGGGAGTGGTAAATAATGAAGTGGACAGGTCACTAATACAGAGCAATCTGGATCGCTTGATAAATCGGGTACAAGCAAACAGTGTGTGTTTTAATACAGCTAAATGTAAATGTTGGAACAAAGAATGTAGACCATACTTTCAGGATGTGAGACTCTATCCTTGGAAGCAGAGACTCTGAAGAGATTTGGGGGTTGTAGTGGATAATCAGCTGAACATGAGCTGAACAGTGTAACAATGTGGCCAAAAGAGCTAATGCCATCTTGGGATGCATAAACACAGGATTCTTGAGTAGGAATATTTTATTTTACCTCTGTATTTGGCACTGGTGCAACTACTGCTAGAATAGTAGTTCTGGTTCGGCCCACAATTCAAGAAGGATGTTGACAAATTGGAGAGGGTTCAGAGAAAATACAGGAGACTGATTAAGAATTAGAAAACACGCCTTATAGTGGTAGACTCAATCTATTTAGTTTAACAAAGAGAGGTATAAGTAGTGCCTTGATTACAGTCTATAAATACCTACGTGGGGAACAAATATTTAATGATGAGCTCTTCAATCCAGCAGAGGCAGTGGCTGGAGGTTGAAGCTAGACAAAGTCAGACTGGAAATAAGGTATAATTTTTAACAATGAGAGTAATTAACCATGGGAACAGTTTAGAAAAATTCATGGTGGATTCTCCATTACATACAATTTTTGAATTAAGATTGGAATTACTTTGGGGCAGTTCTATGGCCTGGGTCATACGGGAGGTCAGTGTCAATTATCATAATGGTCCCTTCTGGCCTTAGACTCTATGAATCTAGAGTATCCATTGAACCACACCTCCTTTTGTCACACTGTTGGGTTCCTATTACAGAAATCTCTGATCTGCCATACAGAATAAAATACTGGATTTTTTGGCTTATAAATTAGGCAGTCCAAAATAAGCATGGTCATCACAGTGAAATGTTTCTATAGTATATTTAGTTACTCATGGGTGAGAGTATCTGTTAAGGTGTCTTCTAACATCCTGTTATGAATTTTACAATTTATCCTGTTTTACATTATACAAAGTTGAGCATGGACTGAGGCCCATTACAGAAACGGAAATATAATAATAATAACTAGTAGCCATCTAGCACTTTACATCAAATGGAATGTAAAAGCCTACTGAAACACTCATTTAACAGTCTGTATTGCAGTCCATTTGGCATGATGATTTTGCACCATAAATGAATCACTTTGCAAGAAAATGATCAGCAGTGACTAGCTGATGCCGTACAATTTTAATGTTAAAGTTGCAGCTGTAGATGGGAGGGTTGTCATTCAGACAGTTGCCAAATGTTCATTTTGTGGGCTCCCTTAGCAAATATGGCTGGGCATAGCAGTCCTCCTAGTTCAAGCTTACGTGTATACTAATTTTTCTCATTTGTTTGTAGGTCTTATCAACATTCCTGCTGTGGCCTTTGGGATATTCTCAGGTGGACTGATTATGAAAAAATTCCAGATTAATGTTTTGGGGGCTGCAAAGCTATCCTTGGGATCATCCTTCTTTGGTTACCTCTTGCTACTTTCATTATTTGCAATGGGCTGTGAGAACTCGGACGTGGCAGGACTGACTGTGTCTTATGAAGGGTATGCTGGAAAGTGCAACGTTGAGTGCAAAGTTCTATTTTAAAGCAACCTGCTTCCTCAAAATATTCCACATATTCCGTGAATATACTCAACAGGGATCTAATCCAAAGAATCCAAAGTCTTCCCATTGACTTCAGCGGGATTTGGAGCAAAGCCCAGAATCCCTCTGTAATTGTTTTTAGCGCCCAAGCCCTTATTCTTCTCTATGCAGGTTATTCCTGTGTAGATGAATCGAAATTCATGGCATTTCCTGTGAGTTCTCTGATTGGGGAGTGGAGCTGTGCTGCTCCTCACAAAAAGCCCTTTTAATCCACAGATCCCTAGAGAGCTGAAGAGCTCAACAAGCCAAGAGGCATCCGTATCGGTGTTCCTTGCCTCTGTGTGCTGCTGAATACCCTTGGACTCTCTAACGCCCTCTGGACATGCCTGCTGTAGGGCTCCCCATAGCAGGACCACTGTAGAAAACCCTTCAAGGTGGAGATTTAAACTGCAGAGGGTGAAATAGTGCAGGTTACTTGACACTCTGAGTGAAATCCTGACCCCACTGAAGTCAATGGAAGTTTTGCCGTTGACTTCAGTGGGGCCAAGATCTCATACTCTGCAGTAATCTATACCAGTTTCCCCAACAGATGTTGATAGATGAATCCAATTGAACTTGACTAGTTGTCACTCCCATGAAACTCTACTGATTCCCCACCTCCGAGAGCCCCCTCACGGGACAAAGATGGAAAGGGTCAGCACAGTACGTGGAAGTGGTTGCATTCCCACTTTTCACACTATTGCAGCTGAGATCTGCAGGCACAAGCTTCCTTAGGCTTGCAGCAGCAGAGGTGACCCCAAGGACTTTCTGGATGGGCTTTCTGTGCTTGCTTCTGCAGCCACTCCATAAGTGATGCTCCCATTGAGGTCAAAGGAAGGTCTGTAGAGTAGATCGAGTGGCTGCAGGGTCAGGTCCTCAACTTAGATCAATCCATCTGTGATCACTTTCCCACCTCTTTTTCAATAGCTTTTCGGTAGGGATGATTTTTTCCCCTTTGCCATCAGAGTGACCAATGTTCTGAGCATTTGGGTCCAATTTTGTTTAATTGAATTGTGCCCCAGATGTTTCAGATGAATATATTAGAAAATAAAAACAATATATCAGTAGATACACATTGTTAAAACACTAGTTAACAATGCCCCTTTAATAAAACATATGCTGTATTTTAATAGGCATGTCATATTGTAGAATACTGTTTGATTGCAGAGAGGAAACATTTGGGAAGGGAAGTGGAAATAAAATATTTCAGTAGACTGAAGATTTAAGGCTACACTCAGGTACATCTTGCTGAAAATATAGCCCATGGTTTGAAGACATTTCTACTTAAAGCTGCTGAGAAACTGCATTTCATTTTGTTTCTGAGGTTTGTTTTGGTTTTTGTCAGAACAAAACAGGTCTCTAGCTATGAAGAAACCCTCTTTTCTGAGTGCAATTCGGGATGCATATGTTCAAAAAATGAATGGGATCCTATATGTGGGGAAAATGGAATCACCTACGTGTCGGCGTGTCTTGCTGGTTGCAAAACATCCAATGGAAGTGGAAAAACCTCTGTAAGAAACTTTTCTATCATCATTTATGATGCTTTGGTCTGTCTTAGCCTAGCTAGCTCTGTTATGGCAAGTGAACTGCAATTCTTTTTAAAGTAGGGATCTATGAGTTTCCTTAAGTTCCTTGGTTTTCGGCAATGTGCTACAGAAGATAAGAACTTTCTAGGGTGCGCTTTTTTGTTTTCATGGAAAATGTTCTGCTTTTCATAAAATGAAAACATGAACATTGAAAATGTAATTGTATTTGGAAAAAAATTGTTTTTTAGTTGTCAAAACCATCATTAGTTTGGGGGTTTTAAACAAAAACCTGAGATGTTTTGTCAATAATTGGACATTTCTTTGGAAATTTCTCTTTCAAGAAAAAATACTTTTTTAAATAACTTTTCAACAGCAGATTTTTGACCAACTCTAATTTTGGATTGGACACAGAGATTTTGACTGTCCAAGGGTCTGGAAAAATACAGTAAACAATATTGTAACATTTTAGGTGGTCCTCTGCTATACATAGCATATCTCAATAAACATATACTTTTACCTGCTATATTCCAGGTGTTTTATAATTGCAGCTGTGTGGGAATTACAGCGTCTCCATCAAGAAGCTCCTCAGCGGTGATGGGAGCATGTCAAAAAGGAAATGAATGTCCAAAAATGTTTCTGTATTTTCTGGTAATATCAGTCATCACTTCATATACTTTGTCAATAGGTGGTACACCTGGATACATATTACTTCTAAGGTAAATAGAGATAATTCCTTTTATTGGCAAATGTTTTCAAAGTGATTTGATATTAAAATCCATTTTCTGTCTTCATTCATAATACTGGGTGTCCTTTTCGACTAGTCTTAAAGGCAGCGGAAAGAGGATTTCAGAAGGTTTTTTAACCATTAAAAAGCTTCCTGACGAAATTATGTATAGCAATATAAATGCTACCAGATAAGCTACATTGTGCTTCTGATTAGATGGTACAAAGAGCTTCATATCTAGGTTTATCATCAGCGTACATATGCTCACTTTGTTATAAAAAATAATACTCTGGGCCTGATTCTCATTTACACCTGATTCTCATTCTCATTAAGGCCACTTCTTATAGCTCTGATAGTGGAAAGTTACATAACTTTAAATGCCCTTTAAACTGCAAGAATGGTGGCAAATGATCTTAGAGTATCAGAGAATCAAGCCTTGTGTGTACGCATAGTCAGTCAAATTTTCATAGGTATTGAGTACCCAAAAATGCCATTGATTTAAGTGTGTGTGTGTGTGTGTGTGTGTGTGTGTTAAATAATTACAAAAGAACCTAGAGACAGACTAAAACCAAACCAGAAGCTGAAAATTCACTCCGATCCTCCCCTTAGGATTCATGACAAATTAGTAATTCCATATTATCAGTTAAAAATCTTGTATGCAACATAACAAAAGTAGAATTTATCTGGGATTTTTTTTTCTATTGTATCAATAACTGCCTTTCACAGAGACAGTCACATGTAATAGTGGACCAGAGGCACCATGACTTATCCAGTACTGAATAGAGGCTTGCAAGCTAATTTTCAGCAAATATATAGGGGATATAATATGATCTGTGTATAATCTTGATTTGTTCATCTTCGGTCTGCGCTCTCTGACTTCCAAGAACCTACGTTTTAGGCATCAGCCTCACTGCCTCTTGAAAAGCTTTCCTCCTCAGTTTCTTTGGCCAGACTCCCTTCAGCTTCCCTTGCCTAGCTTCCAAAATGCAAAAAAATAACATCTAGGTAACTGAGAGTGTGGAGATTGTATTTCAAATTGTCCCAACTTTTGAAAGAACTCATTTGACATATACCCTTTCTCACTGCAAGAGTTTAAGTATCATCCTGGACAGACAGTGCTAAAGCTGGAAATACTCTGAATATCGGGCTTTATGCAAAAATGCCACCATGAGATACTGAAGTAACATAATTTCAAGTGTGAGTCTAGCATAATCGCAGATATACACCTCTACCCCGATATAACGATGTCCTCAGGAGCCAAAAAATCTTACCACATTATAGGTGAAACCGCATTATATCGAACTTGCTTTGATCCGCCGGTATTTTTCAGTTCACCTCATAAATGTACTGTAGTGCAATCTCTTTATCATGAAAGTTGAATTTACAAATGTAGAATTATGTGTAAAAAAATAACTGCTCTGAAAAATAAAACAATGTAAAACTTCAGAGCCTACAAGTCCATCCAGTCCTACTTCAGCCAATCGCTCAGACAAACAAACTTGGTTACAATTTGTAGGAGATAATGCTGCCCGCTTCTTGTTTACAATGTCACCTGAAAGTGAGAACAGGTATTTGCATGGCATTGTTGTAGCCGGCGTCGCAAGATATTTATGTGCCAGATGCGCTGAAGATTCATATGTCCCTTCATGCTTCAACTACCATTCCATAGGACATGCGTCCATGCTGATGATGGGTTCTGCTCGATAACAATCCAAAGGAGACCGATGCATGTTCATCATCTGAGGCAGATGCCACCAGCAGAAGGTTGATTTTCTTTTTTGGTGGCTTGGGTTCTGTAGTTTCTGCTCCTTTAAGACTTCTGAAAGCGTGGTCTACATCTCATCCTTCTCAGATTTTGGAAGGCATTTCTGATTCTTAAACCTTGGGTCAAGTGCTGTAGCTATTTTTAGAAATCTCACATTGGTATCTTCTTTGCGTTTTGTCAAATCTGCTGTGAAAGTGTTCTTAAAACAAACATGTGCTGGGTCATCATCCGAGACTGCTATAATATGAAATATACGCAGAATGCGGGTAAAACAGAGCAGGAGACATACAATTCTCCGCCTCAAGGAGTACAGTCACAAATTTAATTGACGCATTATTTTTTTAACAAGCATCATCAGCATGGAAGCATGTCCTCTGGAATGGTGGCTGAAGCCTGAAGGGGCATATGAATGTTTAGCATATTTGGCACATAAATACCTTGCAACGCCAGCTACAAAAGTGCCATGCGAACACTTGTTCTCGACTTTTAGGTGACATTGTAAATAAGAAGCAGGAAGCAGCATCTCCTGTAAATGTAAACAAACTTATTTGTCTTAGCAATTAGCGGAACAAGAAGTAGGACTAAGTGGACTTGTAGGCTCTAAAGTTTTACATTGTTTTGTTTTTGAGAGCAGTTATGTAACCAAAAAAAATCTACATTTGTAAGTTACACTTTCACAATAAAGAGATTGCACTACTGTACTTGTATGAGGTGAATTGAAAAATACTATTTCTTTTGTTTTTTTACAGTGCAAATACTTGTAATCAAAAATAAATATAAAGTGAGCACTGTACACTTTGTATTCTGCACTGTAATTGAAATCAATATATTTGAAAATATACAAAACATCCAAAAATATTTAAATAAATGGTATTCCATTATTGCTTAACAACTTGATTAATTTTTTTAATTGCATGACAGCCCTACTTGAAATGTATTGATGATTTCAGGTTCAATGTCACCAAGACCCTGTCTATTCTTGTTTTGTTTGTTTGCACCGTTTTATTTCAAACCAGGGTAAGCTGCACCAGTACAAGCCCCTTCTTCCAGCAGGAAAGCACATCTAAGAGGGGAGTTGTATTTGTGAAACAACATCAACTGCAAAAAATTCCCAGTACAGAATGAGCAGTGGTCATTGTTGGAATGAGTGTAGGAAATATAAAAGCTCAGCGTAATAAATTATTAAGCCACCATTTAAATTTTCAACTCAAAGGCATCTATATTTCTATCTGAAGAAATATTTAGGGAGGATAGAACTCCTTCTGTCAAAGTCAGTTGAAGTTGCCTGGACTCCACACACCTAGACATTTGCTACCATGTGATTTTTCCAATTTCAATTATCTATATGGAACAGTTTTGAAATGCTTTCAGCAATAATCGCAAATTTAAAAAAACACTTTTCATGACATAAATCAGAAGATAAAACTATATGCAAAACTTTGCATATAATTTGCAAACAGAAAAAGGGACTACACTTATTTTAAATTCAGTTAATTTAGTTAATTTACTGGGGGGCCAGATTCTGATGCCCTCACTCTCTGAGTAATCCCATTGAAACCAATGGGACTAATTGCAAACTACTCAGCGTGAGTAAGGGCATCAGAATCTGGCCCCTAGAAAATTAACAAAATGAATCCATTTTACAAAATGAATCAGTTCATTTGTCTGTTCGTGAATCATCTCCAAACATATTTGAATTTTTATGAAGTTGCTCATTATTGTGAAATCATTCAATGATTGGCTTTCCAAGAAAAATTTTATGAACAAAAAAATGAGATTATGTTCACAGAATGCAAATATGTGCACTTTAGAAACAAAATTACTGCCCAAGTGAATTTGCAGTTTTCATTCAAGCAACCATTTTTTTTTTGGTGACATTTTCAGCCAACTCTAACATTAAAAGTTGGTTCTGGTACTTGGTGCAAACTGGCAAAAATATGAAATGTGAGATCCAAATGTGGCATATGAATGCAGAAGCTAAATCTCTACAAGACTTTAAGATTTAGTGACATTTGCTTCAAGGGTTTACAGGATTAAAATCAGTGAAATGTGCTTATGCCCAGTGACTGATTCATTTATTGTAGTGTTCCTTTAAAGGTATTAGGCTAATTAGGATTGCCAAAGGACTTTAGAAACTATTGAAGTTATATGACATTAATGAAATGCAGACGGGAGTAATTTAAGTAAAGGTATGCTATTACTAGAGAGCTATAAAGTGAAGAAGGGTCACCCTAAGTTGTCTCTGAATGGACTGGCTTTCAGTGTATGGGGAAATATAGCTTCTATTGAGCAGCTGATATACTAGTTCAGGGGTCGGCAACCTTTCAGAAGTGATGTGCCGAGTCTTCATTTATTCACTCTAATTTAAAGTTTCGCGTGCCAGTAATATGTTTTAACGTTTTTAGAAGGACTCTTTCTATAAGTCTATAATATATAACTAAACTATTGTTGTATGTAAAGTAAATAAGGTTTTTAAAATGTTTAAGAAGCTTCATTTAAAATTAAATTAAAATGCAGAGTCCCCTGGACCCGGGCGGTGTGAGTGCCACTGAAAATCAGCTTGTGTGCCGCCTTTGGGACATGTGCCATAGGTTGCCTACCCCTGTAGTAGTTAAACAAATGCTCTGATGAAATTTTCAGTCAAATTGGAGCAACTCCTTAATATAAGGAATAATTTAAATAAAGGAGAAATTTAAATCTAAAGAAGCAGATTTCAGATACTAAATCTCTCTTTCTTGGTTTCCAGCATCTGAATGTATTAATTTTATTTGTAGATGGGGCCTGATTCACTAATTTCTTTGAACCTTTGTGTCATCATTTACACTAGTACAAAGTGAGTGTAAAAATATGAGGTTATTCTGCTCTATTAACATGTTACACCTACTTTTGTACTGGTATAAATGACTGCACAAGGGCAGGGCATTAGAGAATCAGGCCTATAAATGCGCTTGCTAAGAAGTTCTTTTGACTCTGGATACTTAGTTATGTTTTTGATGCAGGCCTTTTGTGTACTTTTGAGTGTTAGTTAAATAGATGGAGGGCCTGATTATCATTGACACTAAGGCTTCTTGACACTGCTGTGGCTGTGTACGGGGCCCTGAAAGTGGTCAGTCAGAGACGTGTCAATGAGGGGCTGTAGTATAAATGAGAATCTTCTGAAGAGGCTTTAAAATTCTTTTAAAATACCCTTTGAAGGGACGACTTCCTGGAATGTCTTTTCAAGACACTAAATTATTGTTTCTTGCAGTATGTCATTGCTGCCATCCTTAGATAATATTCTGGAAATGGTTTTGAGGAAAATATTGTGTCTTCATAGGTGACTTTCCCCATAGGTGTGGGGAACCCCTTGATTCCACAATCCTTGATTTCAGTGGAATTTGTGTGTTCTCCTTAGCTCAGGAGGCACCCAGTACCTTGTAGGCTTAAACTCCAAAACATTATATTTATCCACAGTACAGATTTAGCTTCAGCCTTCTTATTCAGCTACTTACATATGCTTAACAGGATGGCCAAGACATTAATAAATTGTATTATTAACTACCGTTAACACAAGGAAATGCATGTATCAGGTATAGCAAAGCACTTTGACACATGTCTAATTTTAAGCACATCAATAGTCCTATAGATTTCAGCGGGACTATTCATATGCTTAAAGTTAAGCCTATGCTTAAGGTCTTTGCTGGCCAGGGTCAGAATGTTTGTTTGTTTGCTATGTATGTAAGGGCATGGCCCTGCAGTCCTTGTGACTGCAAAACTCATTTACTTACGTCAGAGCTATGTTCATATTACTAGCCATCACTACATTGAGTCAGAAGGCTTTTGAAATGCTTGGCTGTGTGTTTGCAGAACTAATTTTCCACAGATTGTGTGAGTAACTCCTAAAAGTTGTTCCAGTTTGAAGATGCATTGCTGTCGTCTTAAAATTTCATATTGAATTTAGATGTTATGAATTCCTAGGCCTGATTTTCATGCCAGCACATTAAATTCATGCCTGTTGTAGTGCCACTGTAATCAATGGCATTACCTCAAAGTAAAACTAGCATAATAGAGTGGAAAATCAAGGCCCTCCATTTGTAATTAATGTTTTATTTCACTTTAACAATCATTTCTCTTTTTTTAGGTGCATTAAACCACAACTAAAATCTTTTGCGCTTGGTATTTATACCTTGGCAATAAGAGTTCTTGGTAAGTTTGGTTCTACACTTCATCTTATTTGGATACATTGTAGTACTGTTCTTATTAATTGCTTATGGCAGCAGTGACCTAGAATGTTGTCTAGAATTAACTTTAGCTGCCATATGCTTAGGAGAACTGTGAGAGAATTTGTGTTTTGTGAAACCTGTAAAAAAATTCCATTTATTATCAAAATGTTAACAAGTATTGAAAGAATATGCAAAGACAACAAGGAAACAGCAGTATTATTTCTAGAGCTGTTGTTTTTCATACAACATTAAACCATATTTGAGTTTCCTCTCCCTACCCTAGTTATTCAGAGACACTATGGCGATTGTCATAGTATAATGACTAGAACAGAATAGAATAGGGCCTCTGTTTCTGCTCAGTCTTTACTCAGACATATTTTCATTGACTTCAGTGAGAATTTGCCTAAATACAGGCCACTGATGTCAAGGGCAGATTTAAAGTCTTTCTACTGGCTTCAATGGGTGTTAGGGCTTGATCATATATCCTTTGCTCACATTAAACACCCACTAAAGTCAATGGGAGAGTTAAGTGTGCAAGGAATGCAGGATCTAACTCCTTATTTAAGCAACTGATATGACTGGCTCACATCAGCCTAATATATATAATCAAGTTGTTATTATGTGGAGAGATTAATAAGACTGGAACTTTTCAGCTTGGAAAAGAGACGATTAAGGGGGGGATATGCTAGAGGTCTATAAAATCATGATGGGTATGGAAAGTGTTATTTATTCCTTCTCATAACTCAAGAACTGGGGGTCACCAAATGAAATTAATAGGCAGCAGGTTTAAAACAAACAAAAGGAAGTATTTCTTCACACAACACACAGTCAACCTGTGGAACTCTTTGCCAGAGGATGTTGTGAAGGCCAAGACTATAACAGGGTTCAGAAAAGAATTAGATAAGTTCATGGAGGATAGTCCATCAATGGCTATTAGCCAGGATGGTGTTTCTAGCCTGTGTTTGCCAGAAGCTGGGAATGGGCGACAGACATGACGTGGATCTCTTGATGATTATCTGCTCTGTTCATTCCCTCTGAAGCACCTGGCATTGGCCACTGTTGGAGACAGGATACTGGGTGAGATGGACCTTTGGTATGACCCAGTGTGGCCATTCTTATGTTCTTATTATTGTGTATCATATTGTTAATAAATATATAAAATTAATAATATCTTAAATGCAAAAATCACATTAATGCTCTTTGTTTAATACTTACAGCAGGAGTCCCAGCCCCTGTGTATTTTGGAGTGTCAATAGACACCACATGCTTGAAATGGGGAAGCAAAAGGTGTGGGGGAAGAGGAGCGTGTAGACTATATGATTCTAATGCATTTAGGTAAGAGATTTGGTAAATTAATTCTTTCAGCTCACATATTTTAACTATGTTTACACATTGAGGACTAGAGCTGGTAGAAAATTATCGGTCAAAACTTTTTTGGATGGACAGTTGGGTTTTTAATTAAACAAAAATTATCATGGAAGGTATCTGCTTTTCTTGAAAGCAAAACCCCAAAACCAGAAAAATGGGGGGTGGGGAAATGATGGAAAACCAAAAATATTTTGGTTTGGGTCTATTTGGGGCTGAAACTCTTCAGTTTGGGGCACTTTGTGACTGATATTTATTCAGTTCCCCCTCCTTTTTATAGAAAGTTTAAATTTTCTGCAGAAACATCTCCCCCCCCCCCAGTTTTTTTTCCCTACTAGCTCTAGTGCAGACCAGACTGTGGTAGCTAATTGCTGCTGCACATTGGGACAATACAGAGATGGATCACAACAAGGCATTATGGTCAGGGAGCCACAAAAGCCTGTAACAAGGTGTGCTAGCTCTTTAAGGACCAGCCTAGGTTCAGTATAGCTACTGATTTCTTCCCAGGACAGAGACATTCTCAGAGATGTTCTATGGAACAACATCTAGAGACTAGAACAGCAAGACATGTTGGGAAATGGGGTTGGCATATAATAGTCTCCTCCTTTCTGGTAAAAAAGAGACTTGGAGGAAGCAGGGCTGCTGGTAGACCTCACCACTGAGGAGACAAGAAGTTAGGTAAGGAGTAAGTCCTGTTTTGAATAGTCCTATGGAAAGAAATAGAAAGATTAGGAACCTGGCAGGACTCGATTTTCATTTGGGGACTCCAGGTGTTTCTGTAACACAGTAACAAATAATTATAATAGTTCATAATTATTAATAATAAATGCCTGCATCACAGAAATGCCAGTCTTGTTGGTATCTCTGATGAAACTGCCAAGATTTGAATTGACTGCTAAAGAGATATAAACATTCCTCTCCCACTGAAGGACATTGGTAGGTTCAGTGTGTGGGAAGCTCATACTGCCACTGCCTATGCTGTACCTGATATATGGCTAAAACTCAGGGTGTTAAACAAACACCTTGCATTAACACCATATTCATTCAGTTTTACCAATTTTATCGGAATTATAAATGACTCCCTTCTGCAGAGTTCTTTCAGATGTAACTGAGGCATTAATTGTGTATTACCTTCATGGAAGACTGATTGAGGTTCTTCTTTTATAGATACATATATTTGGGATTAACCGTGGTCTTGGGCACCATGTCCGTTTTCTTGAGTATTGCGGTCCTTTTCGTCTTAAAGAAAAGGTATGTTCCACAAGACGAAAACATCGCAGCCAATGGAGGGAGAGGAATGGTCTCGGTACAAAACAGAAAAGATAATTTTGTCAATAGTGATTATTTAATTCAGACAACCTACTGGCCAGAAAAGGAAACTCGACTTTAGGAAAATGGATTTTTTCAGGGGGATTTTGACCAGCAGGGGGAGTTCCATACAGAAATCCGTCATAAGTGAACACGTTTTAGTGGGTGGATGTAACTGAGCATCCATTTTGAAAATGTTCCCCTTTATGCAAGTTTGACTGTAAATACCAAAAATCTTAGAATGTGTATAGGTCTGAAAATACAGTTCAACATGTGTCTTAAAAATATGGAGTGAAATTCACTCTTCTCCACACAAAGCCCAGGTAACAGACTCTTTGCAGGGAATTAAGTGGGCGTCCTGGAGGTGCCATTCACTTCTTAACCTGAAGGCAGGCAGTATGGCTGCCGCAGAGTTCCTCCTCAGCAACTCTTCTAGTTTTCAGTGTGAGGGGTAAGGGGTGGCCTGGAACCTATGGCCCAATCTTAGTGATCTCTTCCACATTGACCTATAAGGAATGGGCCTAGAAATACCCTTCATGGTACACAAGGGACATAGAGACCCCCTTCCACAGATGCTTGCCCCATACAACCAACCCAATTGAAACAGTTAAGTGACATCTTGGGCTTTCTGTGAGGCTCTCTACATGAGGTAAATTCCATCCATGATGTTTTGACCGTTCAGTGTTGTGGTTAGGAATTGCATCTCAAATTTACTCACACAACCTCTGTTAAATCATGGCATCAATAACAAAAAAGTTGTCACTAGTAAAACCACTACTCTGCCAAAGGAAATTTGGATTAAAGATACAGCTATTCTATGTTTTAAATGGTTTCTTACTGTTTGCTAACACTCAATGACTCTATAATTCCATACCTTTTTTATACAATGTAATAAGCAAGATGATATAACATATATCTGTTTAAAAAACAATGACAAGATCCTTTGGGAATAATAAAATAAATCCTCAGAGCAGCAGTCTTTGTTTATTTCCTTTTATTTATGTGTTTTAATTTATTTAATTCATCAGGGCAGAAATGTGTCAAAGCATCTAGATTGATTCTTTTTTCTTGGTTTTGGTTATATTTGTTCTTTGATATGTTTGTGAATAAGGAGAACTGGATGAATGTTAATATCTGTGTTAACCATGGAACAAGGTACTCTGAAGAGTTTACTGAAAATACCACTCCAGCCAATATCCTTCAAAGGAATGAATGCCTTTAAAGTGCCAAGTGACAGATATTCTTTACCTCTGGGTCATATTATTTGCAACGTAAGATCACATCACATGACTGTAAATCACATGGGCACTGAGTCTCAAGGGTGAATCTGTTACATTAGAATGGTACCCTGGCTGGTCAGATTTTACTCCTGAGGGCATTCTGCGCCAAAAAAATTAAAATTCTGGGCACAATATTTTAAAATTCTGCAAGTTTTATTTGTCAATAAATAAATGCAGAGGCTCCAGCATGGCAGTGGGGAGCACAGGCCTCTGGCTGTATGAAGGTGGGGATCACCCTGCAGCCTCCTCACCCCTGGGACATGGACTCAGTGGTGAGGCTGTACATGTCCCTGACCTAGCCCAAGGCCTGGGCCTGCTCCAGAAACACCCTGGAGCCCTGCTTCCCTGCTCCAGGTGTGGGTCAGGCAGGCTCAACCAGGCAGGATCCAAGTGTGGAGCTCAGTGCGGAGGGATCCAGGTGTGGGGTGAGAGGATTTTGTGTGGGACAATCTGGGTGCAGGCAGCTCAGTGGGGGATCTAGGTGGGGGGGATCTGGATGCACAGAGGCTCATTGGGGGGGTTCTAGGTGTGGGGGCAATGGAACTCTGCATGGGGGCTTTCAGGTGAAGGTTGTTGGGGCTCAGCAGAGGGGTCTGGGTGTGGGGCTCTCAATGGGGATGTCTGGGTGCTGGGGGAGTGGGGCTTGGTGGGGTGGGGATCTGGGTGCAGCTAGTTGGAGATCAGTGGCATGGGGATCTGGATGTGGGGGCTCAGGGAGGTGCAGGGGCTGGGGCTCATCAGGATGGGGCTTTGAATGCAGGGAGCTCAGTGGGAGGTGGTCTGGGTGCAGGGAGGCTCCAGATGCAGGGGTTGAAGTTGGGTGGGATTTGGGTATGAAGTGGGGGTCTGGGTGCACAGAGTGAGGCTTGGTGTGTCTGGGTATAGGAGGTCCAGATGCACGGGTGTTGGGTGGCTGGGGGAGCATCTCCCTGTACAGTGACCCCCTTTCTCCCCCGCAGCTGAGGAGCAATGGGGGCAGGAAGCAGGGGAGGATGCTGAGATTCCTGCAGCTGGGGAAGGTATCTGGAGATGGGTCTGACACAGCCCCAGCCATTCTTTGCAGGGGAAGAGGAAGTCCCATCCTCTCCTGCTTCCAGCCCAGCTGGGATTAGCAGCTGATGCCGGCTCAGGGTAGGAGCCACTGGCTGGGGTGTCTCCAGCCCTGCGGTGATTTACCTCTCTGCCGGCTGCTCTGGGTGCCTGAAACAATGAACCTGCACAGCTAGGGAGTGGTGCGTGATTGCTTTTGCAGATTCCCTTTGCTTACCTGTCAGAAAGTCATTTTTCAGTGGGGAAGCAAAGAAATCTGCGGGGTACATGAATTCTGCGCACACGCAGTGGAGCAGATTTCCCCCAAGAGTAAGATTTACAGTTTGAAGTTATCTAGTCCACTCTAGTTATCAAAGACCTGTGCAGGCTTCTATTATTTATTATAATTTAATATTTGTATTACCCAGGCCTCAATAAGGAAGAGGGTCTCATTGTGCTAAGTGCTGTACAAACATACGAAAACACAGTTCTGCCACAAAACATCTAAGAAGCCATGTAACACACAAAGGTTGAGGGAAAGGGATGAAATCAAAACATGAACCAGGCCAAATCTTGCAAACTCCTGTGCTTTTGCAGATTAAGATCCTTGGACTTTGTGGGTCCCAACCTCATGCAAGTTTAAGCTTGGCTCATTGCCAGTTGAATGCAGGTCAGGGCTTGACTCATTCCCAGACTCAGAAATGTCAGGCATTGACATATTGCTATCTTCAGGCCAAATATCTGTACACACATTCCCAGGTTTAGGCCAGAAATTTAAGGATAATTCAAATACATTGACGCAGTCTTGAACTTCTGTGGTAGATGGGACTGGGCAGGACAAGTGCATCATATCCTTCTGATTCCAAAAGACAAAAGAGAAAGTCAAACCATCTATACCAATGCCCATAGTTTGTGGATGGTTTTCTATGTGACTTGTATCCTGTTCACCTGAAATTTGAAATGAGGGGTGCTATAAGGTTTGTTTGTGACAACACTTATTTTCAGTAAGGTTAAAAAAAATCACACCTTTCAGTGATGGCAGAAGAATATTTTCAGTTACCAAGTAGATATGATTGTTTCCATTGGAGAAACTATTGTGAAGTATCGCATGGTCAATAGCAGATTCCTACTATCAGAGGTCATCTACTTAGGTAGATAGATAAGGATGACTTGAGAGATGCGATCTCTATTGGTTGTACCAAAAGACCCAATGATAATCAGGAATTCTGCCTCAATAACTCTTTTTAAAAGAAAGAGTTCTGAAGCTTTCTTAACAGAATGCCATTGCCTAAAATAAATCTACAGATGACAATTTATCGCAAAGATTACCCCAATTTAGAAAAAAAAATTAGAAATACAGATTTCCTAGTGGTTTACTCTCTGCACCACTAGCACCATGTAAGTATCAATGTGAGCCATACATATTTCTCACACATGCCTTTTGAACTGTGCTCTCTTAATAGGTGTTTTTTATCCATATGTCAGGGTTACAGTATATTCATGAGGGGATAATTTGTGATTGAGTTCTGTAACTCAGAAATAAAAGAGGGCCTGGGCATGGTTCTATGTAAAATTAGCTAGTTTGTAGAGGGCATGTTAAAGCTAACACTCATCCTTGGCTGCAGGAGGACAGCCACAACAATCATGATCCAGGTTTCCACAGGTGTGATTTTGGGAAACAAAAGAAAACCTAGCAATTGTATCAATCCGTTACCAGATAGGGATGGGGAAATCGCCACTATTGATGCAGAAAAGGCAAAAGTATTCAATAAATATGTCCATTTTGTATTTGGGAAGAAGCTGGATCACATACTCCAGGCTTACAATGGTAATGAAATACTTTCTATTCCAGGGTGGGCAAACTATGGCCCTTCAGACATTTTAATCTGGCCCTTGAGCTCCTGCTGGGGAGCGGGGTCAGGGGCTTGCCCCACTCTGCGCGTGCTGTGGCTCCACACGGCTCCTGGAAGCAGCAGCATGTCCCCCATCCGGCTCCTACACATAGGGACATCCAGGGGGCTCCACACACTGCCCCCGTCCCAAGCACTGCCTTCACAACTCCCATTGGCCGCGCCTCCACGTAAGAGCCAAAGGGGGGGCATGCCACTGCTTCCAGGAGCTGCTCGAGGTAACCACCAACCAGAGCCTGACCCCCTCCAGTGCTCCAACCCCCAGCCCTGATCCCCCTCCTGCCCTCCGAACCCCTTGATCCCAGGCCAGAGTACCCTCCTGCACCCCCAACCCCTCATCTCTAGCCCCACCCCAGTGTTCACATCCCCAGCCAGAGCCACACCATCCTCTGCACCCCAACCCTCTGCCCCAGCCCGGAGCCCCAGCCCGCACCTTGAACTCCTCATTTCTGGCTCCACCCCAGAGCGTTCACCCCCTCCCACATGCCAACCCCCAATTTCTTGAGCATTCATGGCCCACCATACAATTTCCATACCCAGACGTGGCCCTCGGGCCAAAAAGTTTGCTCACCCCTGTTCTATTTAAAGGCTGTTAAACAGCAACTGCTAAAGCTAAACATTTTCAGATGGGCATGACTACCTAACTTGCACCCAAGAATTTTAAAAGCATTAGCTGGGTAGCTCTCTGAGCCATTGATGTTGATATTGAACAAATCTTGGAATTCTGAAGGACTTGGGTGAGAAAGGAGAGAGAGCTTATGTTGTGTTTATATTTTAAAAAGGGTAAATGTTATGATCTGGGTAACTATAGGCCAGTGATTTTGATGTTGATGCCCCAGGCAAAATCATGGAAAAGTTGATACAGCACAATTAATACCTGCTGTACACTGACAGATGCAGGAGACCCTGCATGGAACGGCTGGGGCGGTGGAGCTGCACTGGAGGAGCTGCGTGGGGCCACCCAACAGCCCCACGTTCTGCTCCTTTCGCCAGCGCAGCAGGAGGGGACAGAGGGCCCCCCCCCCCTCAGGTAAGGGGGGTGGAGTGGGGAGGGGACAGGGAGAGTGTGGGGGCCCTGGGATGGGGGCAGAGCAGGGAGGAGTCACGTGGAGGGTCACGTGACGAGGTCACCTGCCCCACCAGTCCCCCACCCCTCCCCCCCTTCCAGTAAGAAATGGATTCCACTTGCAGCACTGGTACATCCAGGACTAGAACCCAGAATGGCCTCCCGGGAAACCAGGGAAGATCACATTTGAAACGTCAGAGGATTCAAATGTACAAAAAATTTCAGAAGAAGTGTAACCCCCCACCCATCACTCCTCTCAAAAAACCTTTACCCTTCTTTATAAACCATAAAGAAGCAGAAAGAAGAATATCAGCACAATTTTAAAAAGAAAATCCTTTGCAGGTCTCCTTTTAGAGTATGCTTTCTTTTGTAAATTGGCTTTAACTTTAAAATGAAAATACTACAGTCTGCACTTATACAGCGAGTTTCATCCTGAAGGATTCCCAAGGAGTCTACAAACTGCTGCAGACACAAGAAGTATCTCAATCATTACTACAATGCAGCCAAAAACGACTGAGGAGAGTTGGCAGTTTTTCAAAGGGACACTATTAAGGGCCCAAAAGCAAGCTATTCTGCTGGGTAGGAAAGATAGAAAATGTGGCAAAAGACCACCTTGGCTTAACCACGAGATCTTGCATGATCTAAAAAATAAAAAGGAGTCATATAAATAATGGAAACTAGGACA